GGAGACGCAACCCTTGGTGCAGGCAAGCTGCCCCTCCCTGGCTACGAGAGCTTTCTCCTCTCCTCCTGCAGACGGGCGGCTTTTCCACACCGTGAACGTTCTGCGCTCAGGCTGGGCTGTCGTCCTTGGGGGCCGCAAATCCCCAGTGAGCCTTGCTCTGCCCCCCCTTCGCTTAAAGGGGCTGGCAGATGCCGATCCTTTCAGCCCCAGCAACCCTGTCCTTGAGCTCACTCCGCTGCCACCTGTCGAGGGCCTCTCCGTGCCCCGCTGGAGACACACCGCCACAGAAGTCACGCATGAAGGTAGGAAGGGAAAGCTCACCCCCCACACCCCCGGGGGGGGGGGAAGAGGCAGGGAACGGCACCGATGAAGCCCGGCTGCTCTTCCGAGGCCGGTTGGAGGCTCCTGGGACTCACTCCCCGCTGCTCCTGGGCCTTGGGCTCAGCACCCCCAGTTCATCAAACACCCGGGCAGTAAGGCCTTTTGCCAGCCATTCGAAGAAGAGTTGTGTGACCCGCTGTGCAAATGTCGCAGATTCTCCTCAAAACAAAGCCCAGGGGCTCAGGGGTCCTTTGGCTTCCTGGAAGGGGCTCTTACCCCCAGCGGGCCTGAGGTGTATCGGGTGCCAGGGGGAGGAGGAGGAGAGAGGGGAGGGGCCTGACCTTCTGCTCTCTTTCTAGGACAGGCTTACCTCTTCATCTACGGAGGCTGCAGTTCTGGGCAGTTGGTACTCACCGATTGGCACTTCCTGCATTTGGAGGGGCTCCGCTGTCAGCAGGTGCGGATGGGTTGAGGCCTCCTTGGGCCCCTTCGGGAGCCTGCCCTGCAAGAGCCCTTTAGGGCGTTTCTTTGTTGGCTGTGGGGGTCAGATGGAGAGCCCTGGGAGATGGGTGGGTTGCGCCTGGATTTGAAGGTTGGCCTCAGTCTCATCCCTTGCACCAGCCGAAGAGTGCCAAGAGCTCATCCGAGGAACCTGGGACCCCAGGGGACTCCTTTGTGGCTTCTCTTTTACTCCTTGGCAGAAGTAGTAGCCAACCTGCTTAAACTCTGGCCAAGTAAAACACCTTAGGAGACTTAAACTCATAGGAACTTAGAGTTGTAAGGACTTGCGTCCAGCCCCCTGACCGGCAGAAATCCTTAGGCCATCCCAAAACTTCCCGTGCTGGAGGCCCCGCATTTCCACGTAGTGACTCCTCGAGAACTCTTGTGGTGAGGATTGGACCTTTCTCCATAAGGCTTCCATCCAGCGGGCTCTTGTCCTGCCCTGGGGGTCCCATGGAGAAGATGTGCCCAGCCTCTTCCCTGGGAAGCCCTTCAAGGAGGGGAAGGCAGCGGTTTTGTGCAGACCGAGGTGTGTACATGGGTGACCTCTCCTGCGGGAGATGCCTGGACTGCTAATATGCTTCTAGACGTAATTCCAGGCGTTGATTGCCACCTTTAAAGCCCTTCATGGCTTGGACCAGGTTATCCTAGGGACCACATTCACTCGACCCACCAGAGTTAGGTTTCATGAAGGACCAGAGATTGTGGGTGGCTTCTGGCCCAGCTGTCAAACCATCCATCACACGTTCCCTCATTTGGTGAAGAAAAAGGCAGTGGCCAGTGGCCAAATGCCTTACCAATGATGCCTTGGCCAGCTGACCTCGTCATGTCCAAAACAGCTGTAAGGTTTGCCTACCATGACCTGTTTTTTAACAAAAGCACTGCCGGCTGCCAGCCATCGCCTTGGTCCTTTCGAAAGGCCTGTGAACCCCTGCCTGGTTATCCTTTCCAGGACTTTGGCTGGTTGGCTGTTCCGTTGCCTCCTGAGAGACAGGAGTAACACCGGCCCTCCGCCAGGCTCCTGGTTCTCTAAATCACTGCCCCGGGGGGGGGGGGCACTTGGATTCTTGGGAGCTCTCTTCTTTTTAACAAACCTCGTGAGATTTTGTTGATTTTCATTAGTTGGCCGCTTTTGTTTCCCCTCCAGATTGATGCAGCTCTTGCAGCGTCTCCTGGGTGGGTGAGCTGAGCCCTCCAGCCCTCTTTGGAAGGCTGGAGGTTTCGTGAGGGCTTCGCTACCTGTTTCACGTCGTGCTTTTTGGTCAGAAGAGGAAGCAGTTGACAATATTGTTGTCATCCCCTCTGTACACACAATCTTTTTCAGTTTGTTATTAGCCAAATCCTGATTTCAGCGCAAGAGAGGGGAGCGTGTTCCGTGTGGAAGCGAACCCACGCTTGTCTGTGACCATCAGCTAGGAAATAAGCGCCCTGTGTTGGCACAGAAGGCTGCTTGGAGAAGGGGGGGGGGCATTTTTCGTAACGTTGCTTACTAGGGGGAAAAAATGCATTACACATATGTGCAAAAGGCAGTGAAAACTGAGCTCTGGGAGAAGCTCTCTCTCTCTCGGGCAGGCGCTTCTTTCCAGGGAGGGGCCCTTCGTTTTGGCTGGGCAAGAAAGGCTGCCAGCTCCTGCCTTGCTCATGGGTCTGGATTGGGCTTCTCTGCTGCTGCTGCTGCTGCGTATCTCACTCACGCAGACACTCTGGGCAGTCATGCCTCCCCTCTGCTCCCCCCTTCTCAGATTCCAGTGGAGGGTCCTGTTCCGGCCGGCCGTCACTCGCACAGTGCCTGCAGCTGGGCAGGAGGGGTGCTCATCGCCGGCGGCCTGGCATCCTCTGAGCAGCTGCTGGGCAGCCTCTTGCTTCTGAAGCCAGCCGGGAGAGGCTTCCGGTGGCATTCTCTGGAGACCTGCCCCCCGCTCACACCCAGGTAAGTAAGCCATGCCTCCCCCCGTCCCCCCAGCCCAGTCGGCATGTAACAGTTGCCGGGCTTTTAGCTTCTCTGGCCAAACTGAGCCCCCTCCTCTCAGGGAGTTCATGCCGGTCATTGGCTGCTCAGACTCGCTTTATCAGCCCAGGGCCTCCGAAGGGGACTTTCTCTCTTGAACTTTCTGTCAAACAGCTGCAATTGCTCTGTAGGAAGAATCCCCACGGCATTCTCTCTCCTCTGGGACTAACTTAAAAATAAGTGTTCGCGCTCTTTAGCAGGAAAGCAAAGGGTACCTGAGAAGAGGCCGTGTTCGCCTGGTCTTGCTGCCTCTCCTCCTCCTCCTCCTCCTCCTGCTCCTCCACTTGCGCCTTCTTGGCTGCCTGGAGTGGAGGGAGGATCCCTGCCCAGCGCAGAGCTTCATGGAAGACCAGCCTCTAAGGTCTCCTCCAAACTTGGGAGCTTATGGGTGAGCGGAGCTGAACTGGCCGGCCTGTCAGCCTTCTTGATGCTCCAGATAAAAGGTCTGGAGGACAAATGAGAGCCCTTATGCTTCTCAGGATGTTTAGCACAGCATGGCTGAAAAACAAAAATAAGAGATCCCAGAAGAAACCAGCATGGTTGCCTAAAGAACTGGTAAACTGAAAGACAAGAAGAACAGACGTGAAAAGAGGGATACATAAGACAGAAGAACAGCATATAACCCGAAGCTGCAAAGATGAAGTCAGGAAAGCTGAGGCTCGGATTGAACTAAGGCTCGCAACAAATATGTCTAATTTAATTTGAAAAAGATTTCAATGTGTTAAAAAAATAAGAAAAAAGGAAATGCATTGGTCCATTAACGAGGGAAGATGGGGGGGGGAAGGGGGGGTGACAGGCAGCTCCAAAACTATGGAATTTGGGGAGTGAGGTGGAGGGGTATCCTCAGTGCGCTCTGAGCTGGGTTGTTTTCTTTCATTGCCCTGGCTAGGTAACCTCATCAGTGCTAGTCAGGAGTGCTGCTTGCTGTCAGTTTATATTTTGGGGTCTTGCCTGTCTGGGGGGAGGGGGGGGGAGTGTCTTAGGCCTTAGGGATTCTGTGGCTGGGCTGTTTACTGACAGCAGTTTCTTGATTTGGGGTTTTGCTTGCTAGATTGTTGGTCTGAAGTTGACCTTGGAGTTAATCTCTGCTGACCTGAGAGTACTGAACACCGGTGGAAGAGGTGCTGGAGTCCTTTTGTTCCCCTTTGATTGTCTCTTATCTATAGACGTCTCTATTGATGGCTGATTTCTCAGCGTGCCAGACTTCTAGAAATTCCCTGGCATTTTTGTATTTGGCCTAGGATTGACACATTTTGACAATTGAAACTGTAGTTAAATCTGTCTATATGTTATGAAATTAAAGAATTTCCGTCATGTCTTCTGACTGCCAGTTGGTGTTCATGGATACGTTCTGCCAGTCGTCTGCCTGTTTCCCCTACATCGTACAGTTCTTGCGTTGTATGCTGTAGCTGGCTCCTATTTTTTCTTCCGGTTTTCCTAGTATGTTTTGAAGGGCTTTACTTGGCTCGTGTGCTACGCTGATTCCATGTGGTGGTAGTGGTCTGTTTGTGGTTTCTGAAATATTCTTGATGCATGGCAATGTAATTCTTTCTGGGTTTTGTGTTGGTTGTGCGACAGTGAGGGTTGAGTGGTCAGGGACTTTTTGATAAAGCTGCGTGAGTGTTCATTTGGTTGGAGTGTGTCGTACAGGGCCTCCGTTTCCTTTTTCTGCCGTTCCAGCTGCTGCAGTGTGTTTGGGCACATTTAAATAAAGTCTTTGCTTCTCTTGTGGGAGGTTGGGTTGTTGCACCTGGTTAGTGTGGGTGGGTTTTCCGTAGACTTGCGTTTCTACTTTGCCATTTTGGTCTCTGCTGATCAGGACGTCCTGGGAGGGTACCGAGTTGTTGTTCTTTTCTTTTCTAGTAAACTGGATTGCTTTGAAAACGTTAATTGATGGTTTTGTGGGTATTCTCTAATTGGTCTTTAAAATGGTGAAGGTGTCATCTACATATCCGATCCACATTTTCCATTGTATTTGTGGAAGTGCTGTGGCTTCTAGACATTATGGAATATGGAATGTGAAACTGGAATATATGGAATTCAGTGGTGAGAAAATTAAGGCGCTACACTTAGGCAGGAAAAACAAAATCCAGAGATGTAGAATTAGTGGTACCTGGCTCAGCAGCAGCAACTATGAGATGCATCTAGGAGTCCTAGTGGACAGTCACTTGTGGCTCCTGCCGAAAAAGCCAAGACGGTCCTAGGCTGCACTAACAGAGGGATAGAATCAAGATCATGTGAAATGTTAAAGTATCGCTGTATAATGCCTTGGTGAGGCCACATCCAGCTTTGGTCACCCTGATGTAAAAAAGATGTTGAGAGTCTGGAAAGAGTGCAGAGAAGAGCAACAAAGACACTTAGGGGACCGGAGGAATGATTGCTGGAATTGGGGATGTCTACTTTGATGAAAGGAAGGATTGGGGTGACATGATAGCATATTTGATAATGATAATGATACATGATAAAATATTTGAGAGGTTGCCACAAAGAAGGAGAGGGGATGTCAACTTGTTCTCCAAAGCACCTGAAGGCAGGACAAGAACCCCTGGATGGAAACTAATCAAGGAGAGAAACAGCCTAGAAATAAAAAATAAAAAAAATCCAGACAGAACAATTAAATCAGTGGAACAGCTTATCTTCAGGAGTTGTGGGTGCTCCATCACTGGAGGTTTTTAAGAAGCAACTGAACAGCTGTTTGTCTGAAATCCTAGGGGGTTTCCCTCTTGAGCATGGTGCTGGACTAGAAGACCTCCAAGGTCTGACACTGTTATTCTGTTAAAAGACAGAATAGGAATACAAGTCAAAAGAGGCAAGAAAATGATAAGAAAACAGATATCAATTTTAGGTGAGTTCCAACCACCAGGACCAGGAGGATTACATCTCACAGTCCCGAAGGAACTGGCAGATGTGATTTGGAACCATTGAACCATGTCTTTCAGAGATCCTGGAGCATTGGGGAACTACCAGAGGATTGTAAAAGAGTTGATGCGATTCCATTCTTCAAAAAGGGGAAAAGGTGGATCCAGGAAACTACAGACCAATCAGCCTGACGTCAAGAGCCTGGAAAAAATAAGCAGTGGATCTGCAAACGCTTAGAAACAAGCAAAGCTATTACTAGAAGCTGACATGGGATTTGGCCAAAACAGATCATGCTAGACGAAGCATCCCAAGGTTCCTTTTAACTCTGTTATCCTGTAAGTGTGAGGACTGCTCATAGGTCATTTTTTTTCATTTTAACTTCAAATGGTCACTAAATGAATGGGTGTAACTCAAGGATTACCTGTACAATACAGAGCCAGAGTAGGAAAGTCAGCACTGAGGCAAACAGCAACGGATCTCCCAAGGTGTAAAACATATCTTTATCCACTACAATCCATCTTAATATACTCACTCTGCACATTTCAGGGGGATGTAACAATATTTAGGAAGATGAAACTTGTGGAAAAAGCATGAATCTTATACCAGCCAGGAAAAATGACAAAAACTCAGCCTTCCAGCACAGGTAAAAGACGGGCTGTTTGGCACACCTAGGCCACATCTTCTGGGTCCTTGTTCCTACTTGATTAGCCCTTCGCTTCAGGTCCAGGAAGAGCAGGAGTCCAGTCAGCTCTGCCCCCGGGAAGAAGAAAGCTGATGGGAAAGTGCCAGGAGTCCAGGCACATGGTGGGAGGGGGCTGGATAAAGTAATTTCGCTTCCTCTTTTCTCTTAGAGGATTCGGCAGAATGACAACATGCTGAACTCTGATGCCCAAATTTGGACATTATTACAGTTGTATTCCCTATTTGGAAGCGGATGTGGGGCAATTTGTTTTCTTCCGTTTTCACAAACGTTGTCATTTCACAGTATTTCCATCAGAATTAGCAGTTGGATTCTTAGATGCTGGGCCTCCCTCCCGTCACCTTCCCGGCCATTCCTTCTCTGCTGGATACGGCACATCGATCTTGAACGGAATATTATCTGAACAGTTTTTGTTCTGGCTGGATGTCTTAATCACTTTTGCAAACAAATAAAACTTTTTATTACAGCTTCTTTCATTCAGCTGCTCAAATTTGGATGCCCTCCCAGGTTTGGACAAGCTCCTCCTTTACCGGGCCTTATCCAAGGACCACTGAGCTCCCAGAAAATCCAAGGGTCTCTGGATGCTCCTCTTCAGCACATGTTCACCTTGGCAGAAGAAAAGGAGGAGCGTGCCCCCACCCTCCCCTGCTCTGCTCCTGCCCCTTTCAGTGGAGAGCAGTAGCAAGATCCAGTGGGAGCCGCTAGCTAACTTTGCCCCGGCTCAGTCCTGGTTCAGAAGAATCTCTTTGGAGGGAGCTGCTTGCCCGAGAGGAGAGGAGCCAGTGTGTCCTGGATGGAACTACGGGGCTGCCTTCCGAGGCTCTTTCCGAGAGAGGAAGAAGAGCACCTGGCATTGTTTTCTGGGCCCAGGAAGCTTCCGGAGTCCTCCAGACTTTGGAAAGTCCTGAGGACAGATGTAGCCAGAGGTGTGAAGAGCTGCTCTCTGGTGCCCAGCAGGAGGCGGCAGATCCTGGCAGTGATGACTCAAGTTCTCAGGATTTTTCGGATGGGCGATGGGCACCCAAGCTGGAGGCGAAGAATCCCTTCTCTCTTGCCAGGTGTCTATTGTCGATGTTCCCTGCCTGGGGAAGCTGGAACTAGCCCAGCAGTAGAGGACTAACGTTCCCTCTCTTTTGTGTTTTCCACCCAGGTATTCACACACGGCTCATGTGCACCGCGGGAAGCTGTTGCTCGTGGGTGGGGTCTGGCTCAACCCTCCTTCGGTGCCTGGCGTTGCCGTGATAGACCTGGCGACAAGGGCTTTAGCGGAGTACCACATTGACACGGTGAGTTGAAACTTTGAGGCAATTGGCCTTGGGGTTCTCTTTGGCTCTTCTTCTCCCCATGGAGGAGGCGAAGCACCCGTAGCCAGGGTCAGGGGCAGGAGAGGCTGTTCCTTTGGTGTTGATGCTGGTACTTTCCTCCTGAAATATTACCCGGTTCATTAGCTCAGTTGTCTTCCAAGGAAGATGGTGGGTGCAGTTGCCAGAGCATCAGCAAGTATCCTTGGATGCGGTTCTTCCGGCTCCAGAGAGATACATTTATTTGCGGAAGAAAGGTGTTCCCAGGCCAAGCTCAGTCCTGCCCTTGTTTTGTTCTTCACAACTGCTGGAGGAATACAAGCCCTTTCTCCTTAGAGCCATAAGAGTAGCTGGCATTAGGAGTTGTCAAGAGCCTCGCTACAGATGCAATTTTGAACTGATAAATCACATGTCCGGGAACAGACATCTGAAAAGAATTGGGGGGGGGGGCACTGTGGTTTCTGCCTCAAATCCAGAAGTTGTTGAAATTCATTATTTTTTCATTAATCTACACTCAGTACTCCATAATGGCAAAGTGAAAACAGAATTTTAGACATGTCTGTACATGTATTAAAAATAAAAGGCTGAAATATCACATAAGTATTCAGACTTGAAATTTAACTCAGGTGCCTCCTCCCAGTTCTCTTGAGCATTGCTGACATCTTGATTGGAGGTGGACCTGTGGCAAGTTAAATTGATTGGACGTGATTTGAAAAGGACTCACAGCTGACAAGGGAGACTCTAGCAGAGCAAAAGCTACTGAAGGTTCCTGAGAGCACAGTGGCCTCCGTAATTCTCAAATGGAAGAAGTTTGGCACAACCAGGACTCTTTGAAGAGCTGGTCACCCAGTCAAACTGAGCAATCGGGAGAAGGGCCTTAGTAACAGAGATGACCAAGAACCTGATGGTCCCTCTGAATGGGCTCCAGAGATTCTGGTGCGCAGATGGGACAGAGTTCCAGGAGGACAGCCATCACTGCAGCCGTCCACCGATCTGGCCTTTATGGCAGGGTGGCTAGACGGAAGCCTCCCTTCGGTGCGAAACGCATGAAAGCCCACTTGGAGTTTACAAAGACGCACCTGAAGGACTCTCAGATTGCCAGGAACAAGATTCTCTGGTTGGATGAAACCAGGACTGAACTATTTGGCCTCAATTCTAAACGTTACGTCTGGAGGAAACCAGGCACCGCTGATTGACAGCCCAATATCATCCCAATAGTGACGCTTGGGGTTTGCAATATCACGCTGTGGGGGTGTTTTTCAGCTGCAGGGACTGGGAGGCCGGTCAGGGTTGAGGGAAGACTGAATGGAGCAAAGTACAGGGACATCCTCCATGAAAACCTGTTCCTCAGCGCTCGGCACCTCAGACTTTCCAACATGACAAGGATGCTGAGCACGCAGCCAAGGCAACAGAGTAGTGGCTTAGGGACAACTGGGAATGTCCTAGAGTGGCCCAGCCAGAGCCCTAGCTGGAACCTTATTGGACATCTCTGAAGGGACTTGAAAATGGCTGCCCACCGACAGTCACCATCCAACCTGATGAAGCTTGAGAGGGTTTGCAAGGAAGAATGGCGGAAAATCCCCCAATCCAGGTGTGCAAAGCTTGTACTGAGTGTAGATGAAAGAGAAAATAAATGTCAACAACTGTAGAATTGGGCTGCAGCATAACAAAATCGACAAAAAGCGAAGGGAGTCTGAGTACTTTCCGAATGCCCTGTAATTTACCAGATGAGGAAGAGGCAAGATTTGTATCGCTCAGATACCCTCGTGAGCAGCTCCAGAATTTGCCCAGAGCTGCCAGGGGCAGAGGCAGCAGGAGCTCAGAAAGGTACGAAGAAGGAGGCAAGGCTGGAGAAGGGGGACCCTGGGGAGGGGAGGGGGCTGGCTCCTGTGTGCTGGGCAGGAGGAGGAGGAGGAGAAGCAGGGAGGCTTGGCAGGAAGTGCTGTGATGTCCCTGGGTTTTCTTGGGGTCTTCATGACGGGGAGACTATGGTCCTGATTCACATTTCCTGTAGCATCTAACCAGGAGCCCACATGCCCACCACTTGCCACTTAATGCCCACCCTTAAGGGGCAACAAGGCAGAAGGTAGATTTGTCTTTGTTCTCAGCTGCCTGGTTCCTAAAGTTGCCTCTTGTGGCTTTCTTCTGCTGCAGACATTTCTGGAGTGGCCCCTGATGTTACACAACCACAGCAGTGTCATCATACCCGACACGGAGGAGATGATTCTTACTGGAGGGGGCGGAAACTGCTTCTCCTTTGGGACTCATCTGAACTGGTCGCCTATCCGCCTGGATCTGAGCAGCATCTGAAGGGATGGGCTTTGACATATTGCAGCCCAAGAGGACAGAAGGGCCGAAGCAGACTGGGTGATGCAGTGGACTGGACTCCTTGCACTCAAGAACATTCCCCCCCATCCCCACCCCCGGTCATTGGACACGGGCAGCCTGTGGCAAGAGAGCTGTGCTCCTGCTCTGCAGAGCAGATGTTCCACTGGTGGCCCCCGGCCTCAGGGGGAAGGAGCCCAGGTGTAGGAGGCCACCTGCCCTAAAACTCTCAGCCCCGGCTCCTTTGCTGCCTCCCGGACAGTGGCCCCTGTCAGCAGGAGGGTCCAGTAGGCTTCCGGGGGATTTTTATCGTTTCCTTCCTACACCTTCTCCTGTGCCATCCTCCTCATGCAGCGTTTTCTAGTGATCTCAGCCGGTCGGAGAGAGCAACGCTGAGCAAAAGGGGTTTGTTCCCAGCAGCAAAAAGCAAAGCCTGTTCTCATTCCAGTGATGGACGTCTATCGCACAGGCCATTCCGGGTTCACTTCTGAGCCTCTGGGTTATATACCCTAAATAATTGTAACGACCTCCTCCTAAGTAGGTAGCACTATTCATTTAATAGTAGCATCACAAATACAATATTTCGTTATATTTGAAGGGGTCAGTGGCAAAAATACATTACAGCAGTATATTCTGTTAAAAAAAAAAGGGTAAAAAAAATGTTGGGAGGGAAGCTGGAGCCTGAAGAACAAGAACCAGCCTGCAATGCTTAAGCTCTCCTGCTATGTGGCAGCTGTTGCTGCTGGGATTCAGGGAAGAAGCTCCTTGGCTTTCCTCCTCCGCCCATCCTTATTTTTGCAGCCTGGCAAGGGTCCCCACGAGCCCAAAGGCAGGGACAGCCTCCATCTTGGGCAGGAGTGGAGTCTCTAAATCTGTTTTATTGTTCAAAGAACGTCGTGGCCACTAGGTGGGGCTGTTTCTCAGCTGAAGTCAAAAGGACTTGGGGGGGGGGGGGAAGCCGCTTGGAGGACTCAAAAGGGCTGGATTTCTGCCTCCCAGAACCGCTGATTGGATCCCCTTTCTAGCCACCAGGATGCTGAGTTTTGAGCTCAGCTACAGACTGCTGGTCCAGCTCCCCAGGAGGCCCTGACTGGGATCTTGTTGCCCACCAGTCCCCATTCAGCTGACCTCTTTCCAGCCTGGAACGCTCTGCAGAACTCTCTAGATCCTGCATTTCCAGCTGATCACGGTTCAGCATGTTGTGCAAACAAGCCTGGTTGGGAGGGCCTTGTTCTGCCTCCTTGGCCTCACCAGCTTTTCCTTTGGAAAGAAGGTCATCTCCTCCTCGGTGAAGTTTGCAGACTGCCTCCTATTCCTGGGCAGGACCTTTCCCTCACACTTTGGCGGCACGGCTCCCTCAGCCCCCTGCTTCCTGCTCTCGCTTCTCCTCAAAAGGTGCTTCTGGCCCAAACGGTCCCCTGTTCACCTCCCCCCCCAAAAAAAACAGGTTGGATTTGAACTTGGCCACACAGCCTGTTTTAATAAGGACTAGAAGCTGAGTCTTCTCACCACCTGCTAGAAACTCATTCACTGCTTCTGCAGGTCCCTGGAGCCCATTGCTGAGAAAGCGTGCGAGGGGGAGGGGAGTGTTTGGGCCAAAGGAAGCCAGCGCTTCCCGGCGGAAAGGGCTCGGCTGCCTTCCTCTTCCTCCCTGGAATGGAGGTGCTGGATGCCATCCTCTCCATCTCCCAGGCGGCCGGGCAGGGCCATCTGCTAAGCTAGCTAGCTTTGCTTCTTCCTCTGCTGGGTGGGGACCCACAGGGATGGTCTGAAACCACCTTCTGCCAAAGACTCCATGGTCTCCTTCACGCCATGCGCTTGACTGTCAGGGCTGCGACAGCATGTTGTATGAACCGTGCCAGTAGAGGAGCAGATTTCACCCAAACTGCTACCAGGACAATTGTGGGTCCACCTCATGTAAACGACAAAACAACTGCAAGGCACCGTCTCAGCCCCCCCCTCCCTTCCTCCCAGGGGAAAAGATGACGGTGTAGCCCACCTCCTCCTGCCTGCCCCCCCCCTTCAAGATTCCTCGTGGGATGCTGGGCAGGACTGGAGTAAGAGGCAGGGGCTGATATTCCCCACACCAATGACAGCCCCCTCCCCCAAATCTGGCTAGGAAGGCCGAGGCGCCTGCTTTTGAAAGCCTGAGACTAGGAGAATCCCTGCCCTCGGAGAACCTGTTGGGTGGCTGCTGTCTTGGATCTTGTTTCCTCGTATAGACGGATCCAATGCTATGCCAAGGCAACTGCCCGTGGAGGGAGGCTCAAGGATTACCCTCCAAGCAGTCTGTAGATAGGCAGCCTGTGAATGGGCCAGGCCATGCACGCCATGGTGGCATCCTCTTGGAGGGAAACTGGTGTGCCCGTTCCTTAAGAGGCCGTTGCTGGAGCCCGTCATCCTGGATATCAGCCAGTTTCCAACCTTGCCTTTTGGGGGGGGGGAAGTACAGGGAAGGTGATTACACAGCAGTCACAGAGGAAGCAGGATAGCTCAACCCATTTCAGTCAGGTGTCAGACCAGAACAGTCTGGAGATAAAGTTGATCACACCTGTGGATGCCCTTGACAGACCTGGGACAGGGCTGGTGCATCCATCCTTGTGCTCCTTGATACCTTTGACCACAGTATTCAGCTGCGGAGTTGGGAGAGCGAGGTGGTCAGATCCTTACTCGGTGGTCAGTCTCCGTCAGTGTGGGCAGGAGGGCAAGAGATCATGCCCATGGACCCTTATTTGTGGCGCCCCACAGATGTCAATGCTCTCCCCTTCTAGCTACATGCATTTGCTGGGCGAGCTCCATGTTTTTTATTCCCCAACTGTCTTGTAGGCAAGTTTAACCACCAAGTTCTGCCTGGTCCAACCAGTGAGCTGCAGAGGTGCCATTGCGACAGATGCCTGTGGAGTCCCCTCGGCCGTGCCAGAGGCGTCGGTGTTGCCTTGCAAAAGGCAGCCGCTGCTTTCAGAAGGACACGGGGGGGGGACCCAGGGGTTGACATTTGGGGGCTGCAGAAGTGTTAGCAGTTTGGAATTCGATGAAGGTGAACTGCAAGATCTCCAATTAGTTTTACATTGCACGTCTGTCTATGATTGCCATGATTGCTAATGGAGATATTGGTTTGGCTTGACATCTGTTTTACGTAGAGTAATCTATTTTAGGTTCTTCAGCATCTGCTTTCATTTGGAGTCTATGACGCAAACTGAAACTCTCTTCAGGGCTGCTATGAATGTCACGAACTTCTCTGAAACTCCAACACCCCTTTTCCTCTTTCTGAAAGCACTGTTTTGCTGCAAAAACGCAAATGTTATGCTTGGTAAAAGGCCTCAATCCATCAGCTCATCTTGGTTCGGATACTAGGAGGGTGGGAAACAGGGAGGCTCGCCATCCCTCCAAAAGAGAATTAGACAATGGTGGAGGGAAGGGCTGGCCAAAACCTACCCCTAGATTCTTCCCTTCAAATCACATCTCTCTGGATTCCCTCTTCTGCTTCTCCCACCTGCTACGCTGACTTTCTGCTTTAAAATCTGATACGGTAGGTACCACATTTATCTCCCAACTGTATTATTTTTACAAATAACTCATGGCAGCAGATATCTCGCAACATGTGCCCGCTCCTATTTCCCCCCAACAGGAACAAATCTGAGAGGAGGGTTGGGCTGCGAGAGTGACTGACACAGCTGATCAAGCGGGAGTAGAACTTACCATCTCCCGATCTCTAGCCTGCACCTTCATGGCTAGACCAAGGTGCTTCTCACGAGGAGGAAAATGGTAATTTTACCCCGTTTGCTGCTTCCATTTTATCCCTTTCTCCAGTTCTGTCCATTTGAATGCAGTTTAGAAAAATAATTTGCAGAAAGTATTGCCAAGAAGTTAACCCTGTCCTAGAATTCCATGAGTTGGAAAGGGCTGAGAGCAGCCAGTGCTCGCTTGCAGGGGACCCTTCCCGACACTCACGAAGCCACTTAAAGGCAGCAACTGCCTTGGGTTGCAAGTGGGAAGGCGGGGGGGGGGGGAACCCACCCAACTGTGGGGAGGAGGAAGCCCTTAAGACTAAATCAGTGAATGGATGACAGGGTTCCCCCCACTCCCCTGGGCTTTTGAGGTGGGGGGACGACGATGACCTTTGTATCCTTTCAGATACAAAGAGTTTTCTACTTTATGAAATACCCGTTTGAAAAAATACTTGTTTCTTACATGTAATATAAGTGCAACATTTATTTATTACATTCACATGGCTGCCCCTCAAAAAATAGTACTTCTAAGCGGTATGCAAAATCACTGAAACAGCAAATAAACTAAAAACGATCACTATAAAATGATTAAAAACAAAATCATAAATATAAAATTATTAAAAATTGTTAAACATCACAATATTGTTAAATACTTAAATTATACGAACCACAATGCAGAGAAATTGAATATCAACCCATTGTGGAGCAATCTGATTTCCCGAGGTGGGGGACAGAACCCAGCCCTCCCATAAAGCCTGAAGGTCTCACCGGAGTTTGCGGGATTCCCAAGATATTAACGGATGGTGGAGCCAACCTGCCTGGGGCAAGAGGGTTCCGTAGGGCGGGTGTCGCGGCAGAGAGGACCCACGTCCTGGGACCCATCAAATGCAGGCCCCTTGCAGTGGGAACCCATGTTGTGCCTCCTCTGTCAGAGCCAGAACGAAGACAGGAGCATGCTCAGTTGCCAAGCGCAAGGCTGGAGCACTTCCAGCGGTTTGTTGGGGGTGGGTGGATTGTGTGGAAGAGGCACCAATCTGCCCTCCACCCCCGCGGCCAGTCAGCGGCCCGCCCCTCTCCTCCGCCTCTGGTCCTCCGGATGGCGTCCCTTCTCATTGCAGCAGCCAAGCCTCTACCTCCGTCCTTCCCAGTGCCCACTGGTATGGCTGTTGGGAATGAAGGCTTTGGTTTCATTTTGTTAGTTCTGTAGGCCGCAAAATCTTAAGGTGGAAAGCAGAAGTACAGTAGTAATAAACTGAACTGAATGGGGCGGGCAGCCTTCTCCACACACGCAACACACACTCCCTAGCAGTTGCCTCCTCCTCCTCCTCCCGGTTTCAAGCAACATTCAAGCCAGCCCAGGCAGGGCTAAGGGTCTCCTAGGCAGGGAGGTGGCCCAAAAAGGGCTCCCATTCAATCCACAGAAGGAGGGTGTGCATTTTCAAACCAAAAATAGGCACTAGGAACCCATCTGGTTCCACCCACCACCCATCCCTACGTAGCCTCCAAATGCATTGCTTGGCATCACAGAGAGATGAGGGGTTTCATGGAATAACTGAGAAAGAGAGAAGACGTACTTTTTAAAAGCAAAGTTATAACCAGAAGCCAACACAGATCATGCCAAACAAATCTTATTACATTTTTTGAGAAAGTGGATTAAACAAGGACCCTGGAAGTGCCCTTTCTTTGCTGCAGCACCTGCCCCCTGAAATGAGGCTGCCCCAGGTTTACATGACTCCCGCTGACTGGCATTTTCAGGGGCCCTGAAGATCGGACTCTTCGCCCAGGCCTCTGGCAAGCGTGTCTGACTGTTCTTTATTCCTTTCCCTCCCTCCCTCCTTCTGCCGTTCACTTGTCTTGTGGTGC